TTTATGATGTAAATAATAGAACGCTATGAATTTGAGATATAAATAAAAGGAACCGTGTAAATATCTGGAAGGTCACTGTCGCCGTTAATATGTGGAAATATCCATAACAGCTGTGACTATTCATTAATTAAAAAATGATATATTTGATGCGTCCTGGTGTGCGCTGGGTTTCCCTGCCTACAGTGAATAACAGTGAATGAGAATCTCTGTGTGATGCAGATTTGTCCCTGATTTGCACGCTAAGCCTGTTATCTAGCACAAAATGTTCAATAGCATGAAAGACGATCGACTCCGTCGTGACATTTTGAACCACATACGGATTTATGCCTGCGACTGAGGTTTACGACAGCTTGCTGAAATAATCAAGACCACATTCGGCTGAGGTGAAAAGTATGAGAGTTGGCTGTCATTTTTATTAAATATGTTTCATGATCACAAAATGAACTATTTCTGAATAATAAACCAATAATTATGCATCTCAATTGTAATATGTTATATTCATTTACTACTTGCACGTTAGAAAAAAAAATGTAACAATAGAAATAAATTTTCTATTCAAAATTTTTAATACCTAGTGTGTAGAGAAATTGTGGTCATTTTTAAGTCCACGTGAGGTAGATGTAGCCTAGAATTTATAAGCAGACCCTCTGCTGGATATTTTTAGCTACTTTAAAGAAACCCACGATTGATCTTCTACATCTAATGCTTTCCTTTATTAAGTCATTCATATATCAATCAATTGCTGCTCTCCACTTTATAAAATTGCATTCATTACTTGTATATTCTTCAGACCATTTTCCAAACATGCTGCCTGATTGCAGAAACCAAAGTGCTAGGGAATGATTTTTATTTTCCCCAATATTCTCCTTCTGTTCGTTGGCTTCCTCCGGATAATCGGCTGAAAACCACATGCTCTGGGGGGGTGCGCCTCTGAAAATGCGGTTGGCCCATGTCACAGAGTGTTTCCTTACCCCCAGAATGCCAGTATTCACAGGTCAAAGCATTCAGGATCCTGGGATTCGTAACACTGTGCCCTGGGCTCTATCATTAAACTGGAGCATATGCACTACAGTTATTTGTGCACTCAAATTTATATGTGCGCTTTCTTCACAAGTCGGAGGATGCGGGAGGTGTGGTCGCTGGATGTTTCCCATGTACAGTACTGTGCGAAAGTCTTGGGCGGGCACCGAAAATGTTTAAAGCCTGGGTAGTAAGTGTATATTTGCCCAGAAAACACAATTTAACATTAGGACTTATGCCAACAGTAACATAATAAAAACTAACAAGAATTTCTTCTGTTCTCCACGAAGTTACTGATAACTAATTAGATGGTTAGAAGTACAGCGCTTCGGTTTCCAAACCCCCCCCCCCCCCCGTAGGAAGCTATTCCATGTATGCGTTACATTTCACCACAAGGTCAATAAATGAATTATAGTAAATTATTTAAATAACAGGATGAGATATTGATTAGCCTAACAAGATGTACGAGTGGTCAAGTCAAAACACACGTGTGTCTTGGATGGTTGCTGTAAATCCTGGGGCGACTTTAGGAGAGGTTTTGAAATGGCTAAGCTGACACACTCTAACGGACATAATATCATAGTTTTATATCAACATGAAGATCATTTAAACACTTTCTTTGACTGCCTAAGCCTTTTCCATAATACTGTAAGTCTATTCTGGGTGCCCGAAAGATCACATCACGTTAGGTAGGTTACAAACAGCCTCTTGAACAAATTCAGCCTCTGAGCACTGTTCCTCACTGGTCTTGAAATCACAACCTTTTGCCCATAAGTCACCCAAACAAACAAAATGGTCATTTGTGGTGTCAGTTTGACCCCAAATGCATCACTTATGCCGTTGGCTTTTATTTGACGGCTCCAGTGTGTCTCCGAAAGAGAGCCCCCCCCGTCCTTCTTCCTCACCCATCTCCTTCATCTTTCCTCCCCACCCATCTCCAGAACATCTCCCTACATGGGTCGACAGGGCAGAATCAGCACCACTCCCGGATGCCGAACCATGACAGCAGCATCGTGATCCAGGCGCTGCCCTCACCTCAGTCCAGCTCTGTCATTACGCAGGCGCCATCCACCAATCGACCGATAGGGTAAACATCCACCGTCTGTCGCCTTCATATCTTCATCAGTAACCTACTGCCACTACAAGTACAGGCCAATCTTATGGAAGGAAGAGTCTCATGCATCTCTGTGAGGGTTTCTTGTTGTTAGTTGCTGTTCTTTTTCAGAAAGACTTGGATGGTTATTATGGCTAGATTAAGAAATGGGACAAGCAGAAAATGCAGCAGTGGAGCAGAATCTGTGAAAGTACAGTTAATCCTCATAATGCTTTATTAGTGTGGTGATTGTTTCCAAGGTTCAGGCAGATACAAAAACACGTAAGATACATGGTTTCTAACTGGGCAAATTACATAAGCTTAACATAGCAGCTGAGTATGCCAGATTCAGGGGGTGTCGGTGCTGCAGGCTAAGGTGCTGTTTTCATGCAGAAACGCAGCGCTCCTCAGAGTAACCCTGCCTCATGGGTGCCAATAAATGTTGTCTAAAAGGAGAGCTGTGGTATTTTGATGACCTGGAGCTCCAGCAGAGAGTTTGAGTGAGTCTTTGGTAGGTGTGCATCAGGGCTCAGTTTTGGGGTCCATGCCCATTGTCCCCAGATGTTTGTGAGGAGGCCCATGAGTTTAGAAGGTGCGAGCAGAGGCAGAGGACTGCACACCAGTGACACAGCAGATGAGTGTCAGAGGCCACGTGTTGTGATCGTGAAGCTTGGGAGCTCACGTGTAAAGACGAGCACAAGGGCAAGGTAATGAGCTCTCCCAAGTCACTCGCTGGTAGGAATCTCACGGGCTTTGCTGGCGGTGACATCAATCCTCACTTTGTGTGAGGTGGGTGGGAGAATCCAGTGGTAGATAAGGAGGTTCCAGGGCTGTGGAGTAGGATTATATACTCTGTTTGGCATCACTCATACTGCTGTTTACTGTCTTTATACATATTCCCGCACAAAACGTAGAGGATTAAGATCTAGAAAATAGACGGGATAGTGTCACTGGTGCTAGTTCTCTGCCGTTAAGCTTCCATAAATATGGAGCTCCATGCGCATTCATATTCCTTTTAAATTTGCTATGAATCACTGTAAGGGTTAGTATAATGTATGTTAGTTATCCTCTGGTGTTGACCTCATTAAATCACAGAGTGTCTGTTTGCCTGATGACTCAGTCTGGCGTTGGTGTTCGGGCTGCCGTGCCTATAAATTATAAAGTGGAATATATGACCACGCAGGTCGGCATGTGAGTGCCGGGGGCGTGTCCCGTGATGACATCATCATCCACCCTGTCTGCTTTTTAAGGGTGACTCCCATATTGCCATTTTTCACCTCTCAGTGCCATAACTGATTCTGAAGGCTTCCTGGCTGCCAGACAGTCACAATTCTGCTTTATCTATCCATCTTCTACCCACTTGTCCTGGTCAGGGTGGGCTGGAGCTTATCCTTGGCAGCAAATGGGCGCAGGGCTAGGGTAGACTCTGGATGGGATGCCAGTCAGTCACAGGGCATAGAGATCCAACGGGCAATTCAGAAATACCATTAAGCGTAGCTGCATGTCTTTGGACTGTGGTTGCAAACCCAGAAGATGCGCTGCATTTTTTTTAAAGGAAAGTCAAGGAAAGGAAAAGTTGCAGCAATGGTCTTCGAAATGACAAGAAGCCTGCTGTAGAGATGACGTTGTGCCCCTCTGTGCTCTGGCTTGTCCTGCAACGTCTGCAACGTCAGAGCAGATGTGAATTTTCTTTATTATGTGTGAATGAGGTGCCTCAGTGGGTAATACTGTGGCCTCATGTCCAGGGGTAGGGCTGTCATTCCTCAGGTTTCCTCTGGGTTTAACTCTGGTAGTCCACAGTGCCTCAGTGTCTCGAAATCGCCCTTAGCATGTGCATACAGTATGTGTCTATATGTGACCCACCATAGACTGGCATCCCATCCATGCTGTTCCCCTGCCTTGTGCCTTCTGCTTCCTGCAACTTGGTCCCGTCTCGGTGCGACACAGTGCTGGATAAGCAGCTAAAAGTTGGGCGGATGGATGTTCTATGATTTTAGCTAAATGAGAAAAGGGAAAGGATGTTTCTATCAAATAGGCAGAGCTGTTAATTTACCTAAGAGATTTGTGAAATGTCGTAGAATGAAAGTGTCCTCGTAAACAGGGGTGCCACTCCGAGCTCTTTCCTGTTAATGGTGCGTCCCATTGCACTCCTGCTCAGACTGATTGGTCGCTGCCTTCGCCCCGCAAGCCCAGAGCAGCATGAACAGGACTGTGACGGCCTGTTTCTCACATGGGTGAATTAGACGTCTTCTGAATTTTACATGAGATGCCCATCAGTGGCTCTGACTGATAATCCAGCGGGGCCTTTAATCTGGATGGGGATGAAATTTCACACACACACACACACACACACACACACACACACACACACTGCAGGGCCTCCCAGACAAGCTGCAATCAGTGCGTCTCAGGGAGTCTCTATCGCTCTTGATAGCATAACGCTCTTGGCACCTCATGGTCTCGCATGTCTCCATGTTTGCTCACCTCAGCACCTTGTGAAAGCGACGTGCTGCCCACACCCCATTCTCATTCGAGTCACACATGCACACAGCTGCAAAACCCGAAGTATGCAGCGTAAAACCAAGTGTGAGGCGCTCCTGTTTGTAGCTGTGGTTGTCAGAACCAGATTGAGTTTGGCAGGTAACTCTTCGCTTATCCTTCGCTTGAATCTCTCAGAGGTGTGTGCCGGTGTACTGGTGTACACAAGCGCGAGACGCACACGGGCCGTGAGCTCTCTTACAGAAAAGAGTCTCTTTAGCGTTATTAACAGTCAGAATCTTAATCTCTGATGTTTTCCCTGAGTGCAAACCTGGCACCTGTTCAGAGGGACATGAGAAAAAGAGCCGCACTATTAATACTAAATATAAATATCCCTCCTCATATAGATATCATAAAGAAAAATCACTGTGGGACATATACAAACATACATACAGACAAAATAAATTTTTCAGTTTCTGTTACAGAGTTAATGTATTAATGTTCTCTGCAGGGATCCAAGATGTATAGTCATGAAAAAAAATTTGATGCACTGTCCTGTGCAAGGGCCTGAGGGGGAGTTTGATGTCGGCAGGGGGGGCACAACATAATAATTTAAATGCCAAGGTTTGTTTTGTTTTGTGGTGGTGGGCGGAGGGGGGGTGCAAATGAGGCCAAATTAAATATTGGGAGGTGCACACCCTTGTTCCTATACCACTGGTCCCGTATTTGTTTTGCCCAAAAGGCACGTCTCTGCTGTGCGTGTCTGGCGTGGAGCACCTCCTCTCCTGCTCACGGCTGACGGAGTGCTGTGGCGTTGAGCACCTCCTCTCGTGCTCACGGCTGACGGAGCGCTGTAGCGTTGAGCACCTCCTCTCGTGCTCACGGCTGACGGAGCGCTGTGGAGTTGAGCACCTCCTCTCGTGCTCACGGCTGACGGAGCTCTGAGGCGTTGAGCACCTCCTCTCGTGCTCATGGCTGACGGAGCGCTGTGGCGGGCTGCTGTTATTGGGCTGCCATTCGGTGCCATTTAGTGTCAGTCCGGGTGGTAAACTGTTTGCGAATGCTGAGGGATTCTGACATAAATATTAGGAGGAAAAGCTCTTACAACTTATGTGTTTGTGTTTGCTTTGTGTAGTAGAGCTTTGAAAATGGCTAAGGTGAGAGCTTCGGGACACCGGTCACTCTGCCTGCGCTCTTGGGGACAAACACGGAAAGGAATTTGATTTTCTTTATTGTCCTAAAGTCATTGTGCCAAGGTCACTGCTAGTATTGTGGGTTACCCCTATGTATAGGGGGGGGCAGGGGTTCGGGGCTGTTTTGGTCCCTGCCGAAGATGAAATCAAATGTGCGCTCTTGCATTGTCCAGTTAGAACATTGGTTTTTGTTTAGTTCAGTAGAGCGAGGAGGATGGTGGACCTCTTTGCCGATTTGGGGGGGATTCTCCTGCAGGCTGTTGGTAGGGTATTTTCGGTCACTGTGTGTTTTGTGTGCATGTTGAGGAACGGGGGTCATGGTGACGGACGGCCGTGTTTCCAACAGCTCGCCGGTGGCGACACTTTTCCCGCTCGTGGGCAGGAAGGCACTTCCTGAAAAAACACAGGGTTTCATCCTCGCGGGGACTTGGGGCAGCGAGGGCAGCATGAGGTCTGTAGGAGTGTCGTTGTTTTTGCCAGTGTTTACCATGTGATGAAGACCTTTCGTACTTTAAACACCAATTGTGTCAAAACGGGCTGAGGAAACTATGATTACACTCTGTAAGCCGTTTAATGTTCTCTTGTGGGTTTAATGGTGGGTGAGCCTGGGTTGGGGGACAAAGTACTGCTTAATGGTCCAGTCACTATTTGAATAGGGGGGCAGGTTGATGGAGACATGACCGGGGAGACTTTGGTGGGTGGGGGTTGTCCAGATATTGAGCTAGAGTGTAGGGTGAACCCTCTTTCAGGTCGTTTTTCAAGGCTGAGAGGAGATCAGGTGGGTGGGGTGTGGGAGAGCGGAGATGGGGAACTAGTGAGTTTACACAGAGGGTGAGTAGAAATTTCTGGGGAGACGCGTGTCCAGGATGAAGGAAGACCCATTAGCAGAGAAAGCAGGCAGATAATCCTCATCGGCAGGGAAGCCGGGGGTCCCCGATCTGAGGTGGGCTGCTCTTCACAGGAAGCCAAGGGCCAGCTGCCCTGCCTGTCGCATGCCACTTTCCCCCAGGAACTTCCTACCCGCAGACGACACTTTCGCTGCCCTCACGCCCCTGTGAGATCGTGGGCATGTTCTGAAATAGCTGACCTGCGCCTACACCTCACCCCACGCGGCTCACACTCTGGGGCACCGGGGTGTGGAAACTGCAGCAAAATGCAGATTATAGGCCGTGAGCATCAGGCCATCGTGCAGTTTTACTTAGAACAGAAATTCTGGACGCAGTCAAATCACTAAAATGTCTTAACAAACAGAATGTGTCATTCTGTAAAATATCAATTAGCCTTAACGATTATTGCTCAGAGACTATAGATAGAGGCAAATAG